GTTTTTCCTTGTTTTTTCACCTTCATTCTCAGTTAACGTTTTAGAACTTCTCTTAACACGTTTCACTTCTTTTCCACTATCTGAAAACTCTGGTGCAGCTGCTATAGTATTATCTTCATTCGATTCGATTGGAGAATTTTTACCTGAACTCTCCAATGTTTTCACTCTCTCATCTAGTGTTCGAATGGCTTCAAGGTTCTGTGTCATGTGTTTTTGTAGTAAATTAATCCGCAAATCTTCAATCAGCCGCTTGACAACCTTCATGGAAACTACATCATTATCTTCTACTGCTTCAGCAACGTTACATAATCGCTTGTTCTTCATATCAAATTGTCCATCTGCTGTGAGCTTGAAGCCCCGANCAATTGTTCATCTGCTGTGAGCTTGAAGCCGACCTGGGGGTCCTTGAATATTCCGGGGTGCAGCTCCAGCAGCATTCAACTGTCGTCCTAACACATCAACACTCATTTTGTAACTGATGTTTCCAAGATGTGTTCACTTCTAATATATCAATCCAGCCTCCCGCAGCTCCTCGATAATTGAAATTATTTCATTATTATGATTATTATTGCCAGCTGCTTGAGATGCATACAACAATCGGAGTCGATCCACCAGCTCATTTGGATCATCCCAGTATACATAATCGATATTACGTTTCCTCTTTGCAATCATTTGATTTGATAATCCTGTCCCTTGAGGAGATTGAGTCATGAAATTCACAAACTTTTCTGTATTGTGCCGCATCAAACTTTTCTTTGGGTTAAAATATTGCCTATCAAGATGTGTCATCTTCACAATTTTCGTGAATGCTCTCTTATCATCATCTGTAATTTTCTCCACATTGGGTTCTTTTTTGAATAATATTTCGAGAAGTCCTGGAGTTTGATCAAATTTTTCATGACCAACCACGATTGTACCCCCTTCAAATTTAATTGGGGTTATCCCGATTACCCAATTGCCTTTATACTTGCGGACTCCTGTTCTCAAGCCCAATTTTTTATCCCCATCAGGAGTGTCGAATAATTGCATATATTCTTGTGATAAATTATGCATATCTTCATCCTCCACAGAATCAGAATCATCTTGATCATCAATATTTTCCGTTTCCATGGTGGAGGATGATGGTGTGTGAACATTTCTATTCAACTCTGATTCTGATGGTGGTCTTCTAGGAATATTTGAATCATACATTTCCTTCAGTCGTTGAATCTTTATTGGAATATTAGAATCATCTGTTTCCACCACTCGTTTTCTTGAAGCAGATGAATCGGGAACTTTGCGCTTCTTATATCTCTTCGCTCTCCAAGGAATTTCATCATGAGAGGCTTGATCCACTAGTTTTTGTAATTGTGTATCCACTGGTTTGAAAACTTCATTCAGAGTTTTTTCTGTATCTTCTCTCCCCAATTTCATTAGTTTATGCTTTTCACAAATTGCTTCACTTGCCTCTCCGATGTGTTGTAACACATGCTTCTCTTTATTCAAAATAGAACTTGTCATGATGAAGCTCTGGATGCGACTGCTTGAAAAAATCATGTGCATTATATATTTATAAAACAATCGAATCCTCGTCTATAGCGACCATCATTCAGTTCTCTATCTTTATCAATCACTAAAAAGCTATATTTATCGATATTCCAACATGAGGAACATATCTCTTTGAACTGATTGTAAGTCATATCCGTGTTGACATGATCTTCATAAATATGTCNAACAATCGAATCCTCGTCTATAGCGACCATCATTCAGTTCTCTATCTTAATCAATCATTAAAAAGCTATATTTATCGATATTCCAACATGAGGAACATATTTCTTTGAACTGATTGTAAGTCATATCCATGTTGACATGATCTTCATAAATATGTCACAAATTCTTATCATCCTGCTTGAATAAGATCAATAAATTTGCATTGTCACGTACGAGATGTTTTGGAATACGCGTATATGTTTGACAAAGGTAAAAGCAATCAACATTTCGGTGACGCCCCATACAAAAGAAAGCACGCATATTATCTTGCTTTTCGCACGCAACATCATCAAAAATGAAGATGGAATTGGGGTTCGCATCTTCAGGTTTTATGACTTCTTCATGTTCGTTGAATGGAAAATATCCAATTGTATTCGTTGCTTCTAAAACTTTTCTTAGAAACTCATATTTCGGTTGGTTCAAAGACTTTGAATACACATACACGTTTTCGAATCTAAGACCATTCGGATGTGTGATCAACGCCAATAATGCATTTGTTTTACCACAGTTGGAAGGTCCACAAAAAATTGCTCGAACTGTATTCGGTAGTAATTCACCATGACGTCTCTCTCTCATTTTATCATCTACATTCTGTACTACTTGATCGAAATTCAAAATGGGTAATCTCACTTCCTGTTCCGCAAACTTTATTTTTTGATGAGTATTGCTCATGACTTCTCATGTTCAACTGAGATGAAAACATATAAATAGTGGGTTTATATACCATTCACGCTCAGTTGAGCATGAGCTATGATAGTGAGAGGATGTAAGAGGAGTGGAAGAGGAATTTTCAATAAGATAATCAACAAATTACCGATCGAACTACATATCCCCGGATATCAATATTGTGGACCAGGAACGAAGCTGTCAGAGAGGTTAGCTCGCGGTGATCCTGGGATCAATCTTCTCGATAAAGCGTGTAAGGAACACGATATCGCATATTCAAAGAATCGAGAGAATCTCTCCGCAAGACATAACGCTGATAAAGTATTAGAAAACAGAGCGTGGACACGTGTATTGTCAAAAGACGCGGGTTTGAGCGAAAAAGCTGCAGCTTGGGCTGTAGCTAATGCTATGAAAGCCAAGACCAGCTTTGGATTTGGATTGAAAAAAAGAGTGGGGGGAAAAACTAGTAAACGTAGGAAAAATCTTGTGAAAAAGAAGAAATCATGTGGACGTGGTGCTGCTGCAAAAAAGCATGTTGCTCTCAAAACCATCATCAGAGCGGCGAAACAATCGATGCGCCCGGGAGATGCGATCAAATCAGCTCTTCAAGCTGCACGAGATGCTGTCCGAAACGCTGGAGGAAAGCGCTCCGTAAAATCGCCAAGAGTATTACCAGTACCCGGAAAAATTGGTGGAGTACTACCATTCTTGATTCCCTTATTTGCTGGGTTAAGTGCCACGGGAGCTTTAGCTGGAGGCGCCGCTGGTATCGCAAAAGCTGTGAACGACGCGAAAGCAGCTAAGCAGTACCTTGATGAGAGTAAACGTCATAATCAAGCAATGGAAGCAATTTCAATGGGTAAAGGATTGTATCTGAAGCCCTATAAAACAGGATTGGGACTCCATTTGCAACCAAAAAACTCATAAAGCTACCACACCGAGCCCTCAGTGATGCTGATATCATAAAATACTCCAAACTCATGAAAATTCCATATTTCCGAGGAGTTTACATGAGAAATGGATTGCCCCTAAATGGACCTCGGGTAAATGAATCAGCTATAGTGAATTTGGATGATAGGGATGGTCCTGGCACTCACTGGGTGGCATATAAGAAACAGAAAAATGAAATCATTTATTTTGATAGTTTTGGAAATTTACAACCACCAAAAGAATTGATGGATTATTTCGGTGTTGGTAGCCTTGTCAAATATAATCATCAGAAGCGTCAAGAAAATGACACAATCATATGTGGTCATCTATGTCTGAAATTTCTCAAAGGACAGATATAAATATCGCTCACATTCATTTATTGAGTTAGTTTACTGCTGACAACCATGGGAGAATCTTTCACATTAACACTGTCGGGGACCTCTTCTATTCTAGAAGCGAATTATTTTCCTCCCATTGAATTATCTCACAATCATCACTACAGCTTGGCTCTTGTTGAATTATTGACATTCAATTCAATTCTAAATATTACAGAAAAGAATAATAAATTCTACTACTCTGATAATGAGAATAAGAAGTATACAATCAGCGTTCCTCAAAGTACTTATGAGATTGAAGATATTCAAAATTATTTGCAGAAGGTTCTGTAAAAGAGAGGTGTTTCAATCAACATAAAAGCCAATAATAATACTTTGTGCAGTGAAATCAAAAGTGATCATACAATTAATTTTGAACCTTCCGATTCGATTGGTAAATTATTAGGATTTGATAACAGAATTTTATCACCTAATAAATCACACGTATCTGATTTGCCAGTTAGGATTCTTAAGGGGAATTCTATGTGTGTGGAGTGTAATATCACTGGAGGTGTGTATATTAATGGGAAGAAAGCTCACATCATTCATGAATTTTTTCCCACTGTGCCTCCAGGATATAAGGTCATTGAGATGCCGAAGAATCTCATTTACCTTCCGATCGTGGTCCAAGCAATAGATCATCTCCAGCTGAGATTGGTGGATCAGGACGGTGAATTGTTGAACTTCCAAGGAGAATTAATTACAATAAGACTTCACATCAAACGTACCTAATGAGTATTGTTTTCCAAACGAAGATCGGGAAGAGTTATAAAAGGGAGTCATCCCCCTAGAGGACTAGCAGTCGTCAAAGACCCATCAAACCGTTAACACGTGAGAGTATTCAATTCCTCAAGAGCTTAAACTTGAGACCTCGAGTGTAAATCCAATCATAGATAAGGAAAAAATAATATATTATGGAGGACATCTTGAAGATTCAAAAATCTATCATCTTCGATGAGTCAGTTTCTCACTATGAGATGCATACCCATCAACCCTTTGCTTCATCAAGCTACGGTAATAATGATGTAATTTCAATTACTGTGCAACATCAAGATTTATGTTTATTGCCCAGTAAGAGTCATCTGCATATTAATGGTCGATTAACCAAAGATAATGGAACAACACCAGCCGAGAGAACAAGACTCGTGAGTAACGCTATCTGTCATCTGTTTGAGGAAGTGCGATATGAGCTCAATGGTGTAGAGATTGATCGAGCGAAAAATATGGGTTTAACGAGTCTCATGAAAAATTGTTTCTCAGAGTCCTAACTAGTGGTTTTTGATGGAGAATGCAGGTTGGCTCAAGAATGATAGTATGGATAGTAATGAGAAAATCACTGATAATGCAGCATATTTCGACATCTCTATACCATTAAGTCTTCTACTTGGCTTCGCTGAAGATTATCAGGCGATTGTTGTGAATGCAAAACATGAACTCATTATTACGAGATCGAAAACAGACATCAGTGCAGTACTTCAGAGAGCTGTCAATCAACAAAACCCAGAGGAGAAATGGAAAATTAACCTTCAAAAGATTGAGTGGTTGATCCCCTATGTTAAAGTGTCGGACGAGCGCAAGGTGAAGCTGCTCAATTTCATGGCAAAAGACACACCCATTACAATGGGCTTTCGTACATGGGAATTGTATGAGTATCCTCTTCTCCCAGCAACCTCGAAGCATGTTTGGGTTGTGAAGACATCATCTCAATTGGAGAAACCAAGATACGTTATTCTTGGATTCCAAACGAGTCGTAAAAACATTCAGACAGCCAATGCGAGCCACTTCGATCATTGTAGTATCAGAGATGTGAAGCTTTTCCTCAACTCAGAGAGCTATCCATAGGGCAATTTGAATTTGGATATTGCCCTCAATCAGTATTCAACACTATACAACATGTACGTGAACTTTCAAGAGTCTTACTACGGAAAGGAAGCTGAGCCGTTATTGAATAGAGAGAAATTTCTAACAGACGCACCATTAATTGTAATCGATTGTTCCAAGCAGAATGAGTATTTGAAAACCGGACCAGTTGATATTCGTCTGGAATTTGAATCATCATTTCCTTTTGCACCCAACACATCAGCGTACTGTCTCATCCTCCATGATCGAATTGTTGAATACAATCCTATCAGTGAAGGAGTTAAGAAACTAATGTAAATATAGGAGGTTAGGAAGCCGTAGGCGATGGAGGATATAAAAATAAATAAATCAAGATAATCATGTATATTAAAAGATAAATATATATATATTTTTTTCTATTAAAAAAATCCATCGTCTCATTATTCTATATACACACCTTCTCCCCATCAACATCATAATAATAAGAGTAATAATAATATTGAAAATGACGTAGAACTATGTAAAACGAGTGTCAAAAATATTTAGTCTATGTTGTTTTGATAATACAGGGTTCAGTATTTTTTCATAAGAATTTATTTGACGTTTGAAACGCTCATGATCACGAGCGAACTCTTCCCATGGGCCTCGACGAGCAGAACGATATGCATACTCCCAATGCAACATCAAATGAACTCGTGGTTGTAATTGAAAACTAATTCTCTTAGTTTTCTTTTCTTGCTGATCCTTCACAGGTTCCATCGTTCAGATTAAATCAGCAGGTTGGTGGCCATGAGAAACGAAGAATATATCGTACTCCAAACCCAGGAGTTCAATGGCGGATCGCAAATGTTCAAAATTTGCTTTGATGGTTTGCAGAGATTGAGATAACTTCTCACAAGAATAACACTTTGATGCCTCTCCACGTTTGAACTTGGAGCACAGCGCTATGAAGTTTTTACGAATTCTAGAGATGAATCCTGTCAATGGTGGAATTGGTTCAGCTGGAGCATGAATCAGTACTTGCTCGACAACCTCATTGTCATTGAGGCAGTATGATGGAACTGAATTCAACTATTGAATTTCATCGATACTCGCTATCTCTGATTCATCCTCTGTGTTGGTGATCTTGTCTCTGAGCTCCTCGCAGAATTTCTTCAATTTCCCCAAATTGTTGATACTCTCGATTATGTTTGATAAGTCGTCATCTCGAGTGAAACATTGAGAACAATTGGTTCTCCTACCAGCATCTCGCTGAGCTTCCAGGACTTCATAATTATTCCACAAACAATGCAAGTCAGTCACGAGGTGTCTTGCAAATTTATGCAAACTTTCATCGAAATGTTCACGGATGATCACTTCATCTGTACTGCATGCTCCACCACCATTCTTATTAAAATGATTATGATAACACATTACCACTACGTCCACGTGTACGTTGTGAGGTTTAACTGTCAGAACTGTGACTCGAATTGAATGTGGACTGCGCAGATGGTGCGCGTTATATAGGGATCCCCCACCCTGATGGTAGCTTATGACTCATCTCAGAACATTCAAGAACATTAGAGAATATTCGAGATCAATCGAGAGAGAAATAACTGATATCTTCCTCATATTACATGATGATTCATCATGGTATTATATTTCATGCAAGTTCCAACAGGAATCAGGAGGTATCCCCACCATGCGCGAGTTGATGAGTCATCAATGAACCATTAATGATGGTGGTGCCACCTGGCGGTAGTTGTGTGATTGAGTATTCAGAACATTCGAAAACATGTTTGAAACATTTTGAAAACATTTTGAAACATTTCGAAAACATTTGAAACATTTAGAGCGAAGAGGAATTATAAGATATGCCCACCTCGCAGAACAATGAGTCATCCCCAGATACCAGGATGACATCATCCTTCCAGAATATTCCCCGACCGTGCTGCCACCTGGCTCTCGAATATTCAGGATGACGTCATCCTTCTAGAAAACTCTACGATGGTGGTGCCACCTACGTGACAGTCGAATCCCCCCAGCGATATAAGTCCCAACAGGACTCCGGAAGTCCCCCCACCACACCCCCAAACCGATGAGTCATCATGATGACTCACCGATGACGTCATCCATCTCGAAACTTCTGCGACTGTGGCGCCACCTGGTGGCGGGCGCTGGAACTTATATCCAGAACCCGCCTAGTTTAACTACTATTATTGACTTCCGGATGGATGCCGCATTTGGTTTCAGCATTGCGCCGACGTTTCGTAAAAATTGCAGTCTGCATCTTCAGGGCTGTGAGCTCCGATTCTGAGCTCCGATGTCTGAGGGTAGTTCTTTTATGCCTTCCCCTGTGATGATGGTTGTAGTGGGAGGGAAGGAGGAAGGTCAGCTAATCATATGTTTTAATTGATCAGCTGATCAATCAAATCATATGATTGTTTAGCTGATCAATCTTGCACGCGGGAGTAAAAGATATGATCTTTTACTCCCAATCAATTCGATCAATCTTGCACGTGGGAGTAAAAGATCTGTTTTCCACGGCTAGGTTTGAAAAACGCTTCAGTTTTTTTGTTTCACCAGTTTCTTGATCCTCGTTTTTCTCTCTTTTTAATCCACCCGATCCGAAAAATGAGAACGACGGGGAACAAATGAGAGGAACCAATTAACTAACAAGATGCCTCTTGGTTCCTCTTGGTTCCGGATCCGGACCGATTTGAATTTTGTAATTCTTAAATTCTCAGATTTATAAAATTTAAAATTTTTATAAATTACTGAATTTTAGGCTTTGAAATTATTTTACAATTGTTCAATTTTCAATTCATTTCGATATAATTAATTTTTTTGTGTGAATTTTTGAATTTTATCGTTCTGGATCTTTAGAATTTTATAATTTTTTTAAATTTTGAATTTGTCAATATTTACATTTATAATTTCGAATTAAAAATACTCAGATATCGAATTTTATAATTCTCGATTTTTTTTTATTTGTAAATTTTCAAATTTTTAAAAGTGTGGATTTTGAATTTTCGAATTTCGATGATTTTAAATTCAAATTGAATTATTTCGCAATAACCCAATTTTGAATTTTTTTTTGTTGGATTTTCCGATTTTTAAATTTTAAATTTATTTCAGAATAATTACATTATTTTCTTTAAGGAGGAACGGAGTGGACAGGGATCGAAGAGGTTGTGGCATTTGTGGGCTCTGGAAAGGCGGTCGGAAAGAGAGATTTCTATGAGTAAGGGAGAGGGAAAACATGGAGTGGTTGAGGTAGGAAGGGTTGAGGAATGGAAAGAGGATAAAAGTGAGGGGGAAAATGGAAAAGTGGTGCAATGAGGAGGAACGGGAAGGTGATGGAGAGGTTATGGGGTAGCAGGGAAAACGTGGCAACTAGAGGCTTATGGTCTGAAGTGAGTTGCAGTGAAAGGCAGGAACAGGCGGAACTGGAATCAGGGTTAGTGAAGGTGGAGAGATTGGGCTAGGCTGGAAGCTATGCAATGACGGTGGAGCAAAGGATCGAGGGGAAGAGAGCGTTGAGGTGACAACAAGCAGTGTGAAAGTAATTGCGAATTGTGACACACGTGGCCGAGTTAGAAAGCGAGGTTAGAGTGAAGAATGTCGGAGGAAGAATGGAATAAGTGGGTGGTGGACGATAAAGAGTGCAAAGAAGGTATGTTGAATGAGTTGAAGGTGATTAGTGGGTTGTTGAAGGAAGTACTGGTGATGAGGAGGGATACTCGGGATGGGGAGGATAAGAGGGGAGAGAAGAGCGGAGGTGGAGAGCTGAGGAAGTCGGTGGAATCCTCACCGTGATGGGGTGGACTGAGTAGCCCCATCGAGGTGAGGGGACCGCCGACCGGCACAGAGAGAGAGGGACCCGGAGAGAATGAGAGCAGAAGACAGGACGTTGACAGGATGAGAAAGAGGACGCAGGCAGAGAGACTTCGTTCGAGAGCTCGGGTGGGTTAGAGTCGGTGGGATTTGGGCAGGGAGAAGGCAGCATGGAATGAGAAACAAAAATTAGGTTAAGTGAAATGTATTTAGGTAGATATAAGAATATGTGACTCTGTACCTCTTGTTAACCCTTCAGGGAACACAATAAACAGTTATTCATTATTTTCTTTGAATTTTAAAATTTTTTCTTGATTTTTAGACTTGGAATTTTAGAAATTTTCCATTCATGAATTTCTGATTTTTGCAATAAAAATTTTTATGGTGGGTTTTTTTTTCTCCCCATTTTTCATTTTCATTAATCAACTGAAATCGTGATTCTTCATGTGGCAATTCAAAATTTTGGGAATAAATTATTTTTCACATTAAAATTTTACCAATTTGACATGTAACAGGAAATTTTTGAAAAATTGTTAAAACTGTTCATTGGTCAAGACAATAAGCGGAAATTTAATTCTGTTTTCAGGAAAACCAGGGATGGTTGCAATGAGGTGAGGTCTTAGTTGAGATTATTCTTCATGCGTTTTCCATTTTTGGATATCTATGAGGTTGTTTTGCACGGACCATCAACATTACTTGTTTTCTTTAAAGTGTGAGCCAAGTTTGCCAAGTGTGAGCGTTTTGTGTGCACCTTTTGGTATTTTTTTTAAATTTTGCCCAGCAGCTCGTTCATCCTCTAATTTCATCATGAATTCACGAAACCAGCAAAAAAAAGAGAAGACGGTTGGAATGACAAAAGAAGAACCAAAAGCCAAGATGGTGCTTATTCGGTACGTATTTTCGGATATGGATCCAAATGATGCGGCTTTGAACGACCCAGTGGTGTTTGACACAATTTGTCCGACTCCAGAAGGACTTTATGAGTACATCATGGACTCGGATGGTCTCTGTCTCCCCGAGGGGTCCACTGCCTTCGTCATCATAGGCAAAAGCTGTATGGGAAAGACCACTATACTCTCTGGGTCCAAGGAATCCGATTGGTCGGGGCTTTTCTACCGAATTGTCGAGAGTGACGAGGACCCAGCCAAGATAGAGCTGCGAGCTTTTGTATATATGCATTCTTCGAT